GCTATGGGATTTACTGCACAAAACGCAACTGGCGGCATTCAGTGACTACATCTTACATTTTCTCCAAAAGTCTTGGGTCTCAAGACTTGCTTGTTTTTGCATGTTGTAGACCTACTCAGTAGCTTCCGAACAACATAGAGTTTGTCTACAATTTCCTATTTTAAGGTACCTTTTGATCGACATATAGAGAGGCGGTGTTGCAGTCTCTGATAGGCCTTGCTATGGGATTTACTGCACAAAACGCAACTGGCGGCATTCAGTGACTACATCTTGCATTTTCTCCAAAAGTCTTGGTCTCAAGACTTGCTTGTTTTTGCATGTTGTAGACCTACTCAGTAGCTTCCGAACAACATAGAGTTTGTCTACATTTCCTATTTTAGGTACCTTTTGATCGACATATAGAGAGGCGGTGTGCATGGCTCTGATAGGCCTTGCTATGGGATTTACTGCACAAAACGCAACTGGCGGCATTCAGTGACTACATCTTGCATTTTCTCCAAAAGTCTTGGGTCTCAAGACTTGCTTGTTTTTGCATGTTGTAGACCTACTCAGTAGCTTTCGAACAACATAGAGTTTGTCTACAATTTCCCATTTTAAGGTACCTTTTGATCGACATATAGAGAGGCGGTGTTGCAAGTCTCTGACAGGCCTTGCTATGGGATTTACTGCACAAAACGCAACTGGCGGCATTCAGTGACTACATCTTGCATTTTCTCCAAAAGTCTTGGGTCTCAAGACTTGCTTGTTTTTGCATGTTGTAGACCTACTCAGTAGCTTTCGAACAACATAGAGTTTGTCTACAATTTCTATTTTAAGGTACCTTTTGATCGACATATAGAGAGGCGGTGTTGCATGGCTCTGATAGGCCTTGCTATGGATTTACTGCACAAAACGCAACTGGCGGCATTCAGTGACTACATCTTGCATTTTCTCCAAAAGTCTTGGGTCTCAAGACTTGCTTGTTTTTGCACGTTGTAGACCTACTCAGTAGCTTCCGAACAACATAGAGTTTGTCTACAATTTCTTTTTAAGGTACCTTTTGATCGACATATAGAGAGGCGGTGTTGCATGGCTCTGACAGGCCTTGCTATGGGATTTACTGCACAAAACGCAACTGGCGGCATTCAGTGACTACATCTGCATTTTCTCCAAAGTCTTGGGTCTCAAAGACTTGCTTTTTTTGCATGTTGTAGACCTACTCAGTAGCTTCCCAACAACATAGAGTTTGTCTACAATTTCCTATTTTAAGGTACCTTTTGATCGACATATAGAGAGGCGGTGTTGCATGGCTCTGATAGGCCTTGCTATGGGATTTACTGCACAAAACGCAACTGGCGGCATTCAGTGACTACATCTTACATTTTCTCCAAAGTCTTGGGTCTCAAGACTTGCTTGTTTTTGCATGTTGTAGACCTACTCAGTAGCTTTCGAACAACATAGAGTTTGTCTACAATTTCCTATTTTAAGGTACCTTTTGATCGACATATAGAGAGGCGGTGTGTTGCATGCAAGTCTCTGACAGGCCTTGCTATGGGATTTACTGCACAAAACGCAACTGGCGGCATTCAGTGACTACTCTGCATTTTCTCCAAAAGTCTTGGGTCTCAAGACTTGCTTGTTTTGCATGTTGTAGACCTACTCAGTAGCTTCCGAACAACATAGAGTTTGTCTACAATTTCCTATTTTAAGGTACCTTTTTGATCGACATATAGAGAGGCGGTGTTGCAAGCTCTGATAGGCCTTGCTATGGGATTTACTGCACAAAACGCAACTGGCGGCATTCAGTGACTACATCTTGCATTTTCTCCAAAAGTCTTGGGTCTCAAGACTTGCTTGTTTTTGCATGTTGTAGACCTACTCAGTAGCTTTCGAACACATAGAGTTTGTCTACAATTTTTATTTTTAAGGTACCTTTTGATCGACATATAGAGAGGCGGTGTTGCATGGCTCTGACAGGCCTTGCTATGGGATTTACTGCACAAAACGCAACTGGCGGCATTCAGTGACTACATCTTGCATTTCTCCAAAAGTCTTGGTCTCAAGACTTGCTTTTTTTTGCATGTTGTAGACCTACTCAGTAGCTTCCGAACAACATAGAGTTTGTCTACAATTTCTTATTTTAAGGTACCTTTTGATCGACATATAGAGAGGCGGTGTTGCAAGTCTCTGACAGGCCTTGCTATGGGATTTACTGCACAAAACGCAACTGGCGGCATTCAGTGACTCTCTTGTATTTTCTTCCTCCAAAGTCTGGTCTCAAGACTTGCTTGTTTTTGCATGTTGTAGACCTACTCAGTAGCTTCCGAACAACATAGAGTTTGTCTACAATTTTCTATTTTAAGGTACCTTTTGATCGACATATAGAGAGGCGGTGTTGCATGGCTCTGATAGGCTATGCTATCATGGGATTTACTGCACAAAAAACCAACTGGCGGCATTCATGACTACATCTTACATTTTCTCCAAAAGTCTTGGGTCTCAAGACTTGCTTGTTTTTGCATGTTGTAGACTACTCAGTAGCTTCCGAACAACATAGAGTTTGTCTACAATTTCCTATTTTAAGGTACCTTTTGATCGACATATAGAGAGGCGGTGTTGCAAGTCTCTGATAGGCCTTGCTATGGGATTTACTGCACAAAACGCAACTGGCGGCATTCAGTGACTACATCTTGCATTTTCTCCAAAAGTCTTGGGTCTCAAGACTTGCTTGTTTTTGCATGTTGTAGACCTACTCAGTAGCTTCCGAACAACATAGAGTTTGTCTACATTTTCTATTTTAAGGTACCTTTTGATCGACATATAGAGAGGCGGTGTTGCATGGCTCTGATAGGCCTTGCTATGGGATTTACTGCACAAAACGCAACTGGCGGCATTCAGTGACTACATCTTGCATTTTCTCCAAAAGTCTGGGTCTCAAGACTTGCTTGTTTTTGCTGTTGTAGACCTACTCAGTAGCTTCCCAACAACATAGAGTTTGTCTACAATTTCTTATTTTAAGGTACCTTTTGATCGACATATAGAGAGGCGGTGTTGCAAGGCTCTGATAGCCTTGCTATGGGATTTACTGCACAAAACGCAACTGGCGGCATTCAGTGACTACATCTTGCATTTTCTCCAAAGTCTTGGGTCTCAAGACTTGCTTGTTTTTGCATGTTGTAGACCTACTCAGTAGCTTTTCAACACATAGAGTTTGTCTACAATTTCCTATTTTAGGTACCTTTTGATCGACATATAGAGAGGCGGTGTTTGCATGGCTCTGATAGGCCTTGCTATGGATTTACTGCCAAAAACGCAACTGGCGGCATTCAGTGACTACATCTTGCATTTTCTCCAAAAGGTCTTTGGTCTCAAGACTTGCTTGTTTTTGCATGTTGTAGACCTACTCAGTAGCTTTCAACACACATAGAGTTTGTCTAAATTTCCCTATTTTAGTACCTTTTTGATCGACATATAGAGAGGCGATGTTGCATGGCTCTGATAGGCCCTGCTATGGGATTTACTGCACAAAACGCAACTGGCGGCATTCAGTGACTACATCTTGCATTTTCTCCAAAAGTCTTGGGTCTCAAGACTTGCTTGTTTTGCATGTTGTAGACCTACTCAGTAGCTTTCCAACAACATAGAGTTTGTCTAAATTTCCTATTTAAGGTACCTTTTGATCGACATATAGAGAGGCGGTGTTGCATGGCTCTGATAGGCCTTGCTATGGGATTTACTGCACAAACGCAACTGGCGGCATTCAGTGACTACATCTTGCATTTTCTCCAAAAGTCTTGG